GACATCCACTGCAGAGCACAGACAGGCAATGAGGGACAGGATCTGCTTTACACCCCCACCAGACCTAGGAACCCTGCAGTCCATCTGGGCAAAGCACGCAACACCCAGCATAAGCTGGGCCACGGCTCCACATGTAGCAGGTGCTACACCAAAAGCCCCTCACAGCCTGGGGAAGAAGCAGCAAGCACAGCCTCTTCCACCTCCATCCCAGAATGTGCATTGCTGCAAGGGAACTGGAGAGATGGGGACTAGTCACAAAACACAGAGCTCATCTAGCATTCTCCAGCTCGCAGCAGGAGCAACTACAGCCAAATGATGACTGTTCTTTACAGCTTCCTGCCACGGTGAGTCCATCCCCTCCCTAGTTCATGGCCCTGTCACTAGGGAGTCTTTCCTGACAAGCAACCTAAATTCTGAGGCACAGGAAATAGATGGATCCCCTTTCCCTCTGCACTAAATTTTACATAATGGAAAATGCTTCCCATCTCTCCGAGGCTGCCTCTCTCCTGGGCACAAGCAGCCCAGCTTCTTTAAGTCAGTTCTCAGCAGGCATGGTTTCTAAACATTCAACCATCCCCATTCCTCTCTTCTGAGGACACAGGACTCTTGGTTGTGCAGACAGGCAACAACATCAAATAAAGAAATGACAAAGCCTTGTTCACAAAACATCAGGTTAATAATCACAGCTGGGCCACAAGAGCCTCCTGGGGCTGGTGACCTGTGTTGGCAGCCCCAGACACCCAGCAGAGAGTCAGGTGGCTGGGCTGGGCTGTGGGCTGCCAGGAGGGGTGAGTTACAGCCTCTCATGGATCTAAAGGACCAGACATGCTGGTGGGGAGCCCAGGCTGCTCTCCTGCCACTCACGGGACCTACCGCTGGGTGGCCATGCTGGCGCACGTCCATCTGGGCAAAGGAGCAGGTGTCGCCCACACCCACCACCTCCACGGTGAAGTTGCGGAAGAAGTCAACGATGTCCAAGGACTTGGGACGCAGGCAGACAATGAGGATCAGGGGGGTAATGATGGGACTCAGGAGCTCCTCCAGGATGAAGACCTGAGCACAGAGATGATGGGCTCAGCACAAGTCTGAGGATGTCAAAAAACCCCACAATCCTGAAGCCAGCCCTCAGCTCCAGCCCTCCATCTTCTGGGGCAGGCGGTCTCTGAGAAAGCTGCCTTGTTCCTCTGACAGCCCAGGAGCTGCTTGGCACTCCGGCAGCTTCTCCCTCCTGCAGGGGTGGGCGAGAGGCCCCAGCCCAGCCCCATGCAAGCCAAGCTCACCGCTTTGTACTGGAAGAGCTGGGCAAACTCATCCCTGGTCTCGTAGCGGTGGGCATTGCCCTGCCAGTGGTCAGGCATGTAATGGATGTGCGCCAGGATGACTCGCAGCAGCTGCTCTGGGCAAAACACCAGGTGCTGGTCGGGGATGAAAGACCTGTAGAACAGGACAGGGAAACATCACCGCATCACACCCTCAGTTCCTGGGAGATCTCATCCTGGGAGGGCAGGATGACCAGCCCCTATCAGAGCTCCACCTGCAGCCTTCACACCCAAGCCAAAGCTTCCTGCCAACTCAGCCCTGGGGTGTTGCTCCAGCAACACTCCTCATATCCTACAACCACTGCACCCAGGATCACCGCTACCCCCTTCTCCTGCCTGCCCCTGACTCTCCCCAGCCGGGCCCTTCACTCAGGCAGATTCATGTCCACTTGCAACCAAACAGCATGTTTACATGGACAGGTGTCAGCCCCACCGCTCCCCACAGTGCTGCCAGGAGCACAGGGGCAGCACAGACCCACTCACCTGCACACCGTGATGCCCACCCCAAGCAGGGTGACTGTGGTAAGGACGTGCTCAACTGCCAGCACGTCCTCATCATAGATGGTGAGAGCGATGAGCACAGCCAGGATGGAGCCAGCAAAGAAGGCCACGTTCTTGGCCACGATGGTGAGGAGTGGAGAGATAAAGCAGTTCATGTACTTGGAAGCTGGCTTGTACCCCTTGCTGAGGCGTGAGTGCAGTTCATGGTCCAGCTCGTTGAAGTGACGGAGGTAACAGCGGCCGTAGAGAGACCAGCAGCGGGCACCCAGACTGCCTGGTTCCCGCTTCAGGATCTCTGTGTAGCTGAAGAAGGCGTAGAGGATCTGCCAGATGAGGATGAGGGGGCAGAGGAGGAAGTTAGCAATGCCAATCCAGAGGATGCGAGTGCTGAGCTTCTCAGCCAGCTCAAGGCGGTTCCCAGCCCGCTTATACTCGGCCTTCAGGCTCCACTCGTTCTCAAAGAGGGAGCCAGGCCCCCAGAAGAAGATGAGCTCAAAGTTGTACTTGAGCCCACGCGTGTAGAAGACAGTGTCTCCCAGCAGGGGCAGGCGGAAGCGGATGGGCAGCAGCGACTTGTTCACCATGGCCACCATGTAGTTCTTGAAGCGGAGGATGCGGTGGTAGATGTCCAGCTCTGTCAGCTCCTTCTTGTGGATGCAGATCTGGTGCTCCTTCTGGATCTGCACGATGCGGGCCTGCACCTCCTGCCAGGTGTAGTACGGTAGGGTGGACTGGAAGGGGGCAAGTGGCAAGGTTAGGGGCAGGATGCATCCAGAGACAAAAGCTGGGCTGAGCCCACTCAAACAGCAGGTTCCAGCGCACGCCTCAGGGTGCTGACAAAGCACAGGCAACACTAGGACAGGAGGCATCTCCCTGCACCATTTCACCCTGCAATGAGCAAACCCCATACCTTGCCCCAGTGCCCTTTACCCCTAGATTAGCGCAGATGACTGTTTCCCAGCCACTCACAAACCAGCTGCCTGGAAAGCACGAACATAGCTCCAGGCTCCCATGGGTCCTCCCAGAGCTGCCATTTGGAGCCAAAAGGGAGACATGAACAGGGGAAGGGACTTAGGCAGTGTCCCAGAGGGAGCCTGTGGAAAAGCTGGGGACAAAGCAAGCCTATTGACTCACTCCACCTTTCCCAAGACACAATGTCCCCTCAAAGGATGCACATACACCTTTTGATGTTGTCCATCAGAGCAAGGACTCTGGACTAGGATATGTGTGCAAGCCTCAAATCCCATCTTTGACACACCGATCTCCAGTGTGATTTTCACCAACTAAGTAGCTCTGTGCCTCAGCTTCCCCCCAGTAAACAAGGAAGATGATGTTGACAGAATGCAGGGAGGTACAAGGATATCCTTGCTTATGCTTTTTTTGTTGAAAGGCATCACAGAAAAGTCCATCACCAAAGAATAAACATGTTGGGTGGCAGATGGCAGAGGCCTGTGCCAGCAGGCAGAGAGGCAGGCTGGGTAGAGAGGGGTTAACACAGAATAAGCTGGCTGCTGGAGAAGAGGCTAAAAGAAGACCTGTGGGGTTATGGAGCAGAGGGAAAAGCACTCAGTACAGGTCTGCTAGAGAAGCTGGCTCCAGAGAGGAGTGAAGGCGAGCTGCTTCTAATCACCCACCAAATGCCTCCCGCATCCCTTAGTGGCTCCGCACATGACCCTCGGCCCAGCTACTTACCATGGGGATTTTGAGGGCATTGATGTAGAAAGAGTGAATCTCCCAGTAACAGCAAATGTTGTAGATAAATTTGACGAGTCGGTGGATCCAGAAAACCCCAGCTATCACCAGGATGCAGATGAGGAAGCTGTTTGCCTGGATTCTGCAAGCAAGAGGAGGCAAGTAGTGGGAGACAGACTCGGGCAGGCACCCCGAGTACCTGAGAAAGCAAGAGCGGTGGCTAACATGCCCTCCGCTGCCCCTACCTTGCACTGCAGACATTTGGAGGCAGGAAGGCATCTGGCAGGGTCACCTTAATGGGCTCACTGGGATGCTGGCTGTGATTTACGGCTTTGTTGGCAAAGAGGATGTCATAATCAACACAGCTGATAAGAAAGGTGGTGAATGCCACCACAAAGATGAACTGCCTGTGAAAAAAGGAAGCAGGTGTGAGGGAATCATCCTTCTGTCCCCCAAAACATGAAGCAGCCAGGGTCACACATCACAGAGATGCATTCCCACAGCCGGCAGCAGGAAAGCTCATGGGCACCAGTTTCTCAAAGTGGAATGCAGGTTTGGGCCACAGAAAGCCCCAACGAAGGGGAGACAGGACAACTATAAAGGGAGCTCTCCTGCCCACCCAGCTGTAGGAGCTCAGCAAACTCCTGTGGCTGTTCCCCAGCAGCTGTCACAGTCACAACAGAGGGGGAACTTGCACTTACATGAGCTCAAAGATCTCTCCAATGAGCATGCAGGTGAAGCCATTCTTCTGATGCAGGTTATAGACGTGAAAGCTACAGTCAAGGAGAACAGTCTGGAGACTCCTTCTCTCTGACGAAGCACGGAGAGGCTTCTGTCCCATTGGCATCCGCAGCTCCCCAGCCAAGTCTCCCTTCACCACCAATGGAAAACCCCTCCTACCCCTACTCATCAGCAAACTGGTTCTCCACTGCAGGGAAACACACTCTGCCCAGGTAAAGCACAGCTAGGATAAGGGGACTTGGCTCCATCCAAGCACCTTTCTTCCCCCACTCAACACCCAGAGCGGGGTCTGTCCCAGCACAGAGCAGAAACTCAGCCTGCCCTCAGGCCGCACAAGGCTAAGCAGAACAGGGCAGGGCAAGACAACACAGAGACAAGCAAAAATGCATTTAATACGCCTAGCACCTGTGACCGGTAGCCTCTGCTCCCAATCCCTGGTAATGTGGTTAGCATAACTAATGCCATTTTATAAGGCAAGCAGCTGTTCTCTGTGACAGAGCAAGTCACCTATTAGTTTCCTTTCCCTCATTATCAGGCCCTGAAGGTCCTATGAACCAAGCAGACAAACTAAACAGATTTCTCTTCCCCTCCCTACTGGCCTCAAGGTTCCTGAGCATCAGGCTGATTACTCCCTTCCGTGTCGGCCTTGAAGGCCCCAGGCACCTGGCCAACCCAATGGCAGTGATGACTCCGTCACAGAACAGGAAGGTGTAACAGCACCCAGAGCACAGTCCACAAAATGAAGCTGTTACAAGTCCTAAGTTGGAATTTGGACGGGAACTGCTGCTGGACAGTGAGACCCAGGACCCCCCAATAGGCAGGGATGCCCCCACCATTGCCTGGTTCCTCTGAGAATGGACTGATTCATATTCTTTTATATGCTTTTTGAATCTAGATTATGATTGTTATACTGATACAGCAAACCATGCAGATACAGCAAACCATAAGATACGACCCGCCCTGCAGAGACTCCAGGTGATTAGAAACCACAAGCTAAGCAGTGCTATAAAATTCTGTAGTATACTACTTATAAAACTGTACTACACTGCTTCTGCTTACAGAAATTTTCTGCTACTCTGATTATAAATGCTATGCTATGCTATGCTAAGCTAATAACACAGTCCTGTTAAAAAAATAAAGCTTTAATTGTAACTACAACTTAGGACCACCATCACTCTGCCAAGGATCCCTAGAAGAAGCTGTCTCTTCCCGCAGTGTCAGGTGACAGCACCCCCAGGCACAGGGGTTCTGCACCCAGCCCCTCTGGAGCCGTGTGGTATCCTACGGGAAGGGGCAGACGCTGCCTGAGCTCCGAGTTACACAGAACCCAGTCTTTCCACCAGCACTCAGAGCCCAGGAGGCGGTGGGGTGCAGCGCACCTGAAGCCTGCCTGGTGAAAGGATATGCGAGAGAAGAAGAGGTCCAAGTTCTCAATGTGATGCCACGGAGCTGAAGGTAGAGAAGTGCAGGGTGAGAGGCGCTCCAGCACACCTTGCCTTCCTGCGTGCGGGGCACAACCCACACCCCC